GCTCTTACTGGTGCACTCACCAGAAAAATGAGACATGTACTACCAATTTATTTCAATAACTTGCTAAACACTGAATGTAGTCCTGTGATATGTTATTCTTCCCACAAGTGGAACAGATCATATTATTCTAAATGCTTTTTTTTTTTCCTCCTGTTTTGTACTTTTTTCCCTCTCCTCTACCTTGTGACTGACAGAATTCCTACAAAATTACCCAAACTTCAGCATCGTAAAGATGATGTATTATTGTTCTCTTTTCTTCAGTGAAAAGCGAGGACAAATATACTTGTCTTCTTAGTAGCAGTTTCTTTCATTAGGCATTACATTTTAAGTGTATGGTTAAAGTCATGATTTCAATTGAACTTTTGAACTTTGTTCAAAACAAAGGTTTAAGCTCAGGAAAACACATACATTGTGCCAAACTCATACTCAGTTTGTAGACCGCTTAATCCTACTGCTTTCATGCTACTGCCGTGCTTCCACTATCAATATATGTGTGCCTCATTAATTTCACAGACACAGATTATTTTACCCAGAAAATGTACCATGACGGAAAAAGCAAAGTTACTGTGAACTAAATCTTGCAAGATCTTATGGGCCTTTGCAAGATAAATTTAAAACTAACTTTTTGTCACCTCCTGCTTGGCAAGCTTACCTCAGTTGCCTGTCATTCCTGTCTGATGAAGTTCATGTTGCTTCTCCTCTGTCAAGGTCTAGCTTCGAGATAAGACACATAAATGTGCAATTGCTGCAGTGTCTCCCAAGGAAATGATGGAAGAGGAAAGGGAGAAGAAGTATCACTGCACTCACTTTATAATAATCTGCCACAGACAAAGCAATGGGCAAGAGTGACAAATATTGAGTTGGGAGGATAAATCCCCAAAGACTCTATTAAGCTATAGCCCAGAAGACGCTAACTGCAATCTATTTTTTATTATTCTTTTGTTATGAACACCTAAAGCTTATGTCTTGTTTTTTCTTTTTCTTTTTTTTTTTTTCCCTTTTTTTTTTTTTTTTTTCATTTTGTCAGCACTTGAATAGAATATTGTGGCACTGGAATAATTTTCAGTTGATCAAGTTTGAAACAGACCTTGGGTAAAATCTCTGCTAAAGCCATTAAAAATTCTGTCTTCAAGTCCCTTGCAAATTGCACCAATTAGGGATGTACTGGGAACAGGTGGATCTTTAAAGACCACATGATTTTGGAGTACTTTCTTAGACTCTTCCATAGCACATTTTTTTTAGATCTAGTGGATAATGTCATCATAAAATTCTTTTAACAAAATAGATGGCAAAGAATAGAAATCAGTATTCATTACCACAGAAATTAATAGAGTTTAAAAGTTCATGGAAAGGCCAATAGTTCACAGATGAATTGGAACTTCAGAACTTGAAAGTTCTACTTGGAGCATCAGTAAATAAAGTTAGAAGCAGCAGCTTGTTCCCTGTCTCATTGTCTTTAGCTTGCCATCCAAACCAGAAACAAAAAGAGGTAAAACTCTTTTCTACCTCATCAATTCATAAAGGAATTAGTGTTCCCAAGTCTAGGTTCAGTTTAACGAATTCAAGCTTCAGTACATGAACTTCAGTTTGAGTATTGCTTAGACTAAACTTTGGGTTTAACATAACCCTTCTGAGTTTTGAGACTACTTCTAAAACTGATGAATTTTTGACACAGATGCATCTCAAGTGACTCAAGTTGGAGAGGAACACATCTTCAGAAATGAATGGTGTTTATGGATTCATTATATCATCAATTATAGTGCAATATCAAGTCACTTTCAACTATGCATTTCTATAGTATGCTTTTTTGATGCTTTTTTGTTGCATACCAATATACAAGTCAATTCATGTTTTGTAATTTTAAAGTGATGTATTTCATCTCCTATGTAATCTTTCCATGGTTTCTGGGGAGCTAAAGAAATGAAAAATAGTGGTATCACTCTCCGCATTCCACAAATCATGGAGGACACTAGTTCTAATTTACTGAACACAAAGAAAAAGAGTGCATACCTGAAGTCTGCCTTTTGATGAAAATTTGAAAGGAAGTCAACTAGATCAATCAGCATTCTGATTTTTTTTAATCTCTTCTGTAATAGGATATAAATTTCTGTAGCTCTGCATTAAAACTGTAACTATCCTGTTGCACAACAATACAAGTTTTATCTCACACCATACAATGACCTGCAGTCACCATCTTCCAGCCTCCGTTACATATACTCAGTTAGCAACACTGCCTTTCAAAGATGATGATGTCAAGACACTTTGGTTTTGTTTCTATTCCAGTCTTTTTGTTATCTTATTGCTCTTTAGCAGGTACTGGCTACAAAGATGATTCTGCAATTGAGTCACACCACCTTTGTGACAGATGTGGACATATTAGATCATGACAGAAGAGATTTTGACATTATACTTATAAAAATTAATTGAACAACAGGCTCAAACATGAGATTTTGGAGTCAGGGACTCACATTTCACAGCTGTAAGATACATGTGGGAACACAGGGAGAGAAAGCAATGCTCTTACCACACATTTGTGGGGTTTCAACCCTCAGATGATTTTTTTCAGCCAGTGTGTGTGTGAAAAAGTAAAGCAATTCAGATTTTCTGGTTACGACAAATATGCTTTTTGTCAAAACATCCACGCATTTCTTTGGTAGTTTTATTCAGAGGAATCCTCTCTGACCCCTCAAAGACACCAGTGACAGGATATTCATATCTCTTTAGGTACCAAAGTTTGAGCTCACCACTCTTGGATCCCTTATCAGTCAAAGGAAAGAAAGACACATCCCGAGGGAATTAAGCTCATCATAAAATAGATGTTGAAAGTAAATCATAAGGATCACTCTTTGGACATTCTGTGTTAAGTCATCTAAAGTTAGGCAAGATAAATCCCACCCAAATCTACAGAGTCCAAACTAGACATACTGGTAAAGGAAAGCCTTTCAGGTAAATATTAGTTTCTGTAGTCCTGTTTTCATTTGCTTCCTTCTTTTTCAAAAGGTAAATGTAAGAAGGTATGTGTAAGTTAACATTTCTATGAGCCACACAGTATTTAAATGAAACAAATTATTTTCTGTAACCCCTAGATAGAAATAAGAAATTAATTGAAACTAAAAATCAGTCAATTTGTCCAAAAGTTCACATAAAGTCCTATACTCTGTGTTTCTTTGGTACTGGATGCCACAGTAAGGGAGAATGAGTGTGATTAAATGCCTCTCTCAGAGGAAAAATGCTAACATCAACAGTATGTGCATGTCAATAACCATCTTGTAAAGAAAGAAAATATAGGGACCTCTAATCACATCTAATCATTGTTCTGAGCAACAGTTTGGTTTTTTTCCCCTCTGTGTTTCTAATGTTTCTTATATTGACTTATCACATATGCTGTCAAATAACTAATTCTTTCTGGCAACTGACAATTTAGGAGAAAAGTATATTACAGAAAAGGCAGTGTTATTGGTTTCCATAAACTCATATGGACTATGAACAATTAGGACAGTTCTAAAAATAGATTCATGGAAAACTGTCATAAGCCCTAACTCCCGGATGTCTTTGGTATAAAGTAAACACAAATATTGGCATAATATTTATATAATCTACTATTTCCATCTTATAAAACAACAGATACATTGTTTCTGTATTTTATGGAAAATAGTGTAGAATTATAAACTGTATTCATTTTTAAAACATTGAAAATAGATGCTATAACAACAGTGCCTTACTGAAATTCAAGCTACGCTAAGCAATCATAATTATGGTCTCATCAGAGCTACATAAAGCATTATCAGATAAAATTTAGGTGCATCTGTCTATTGCTATAAGTAAACAAATACACTGCTTAGGTAGGAAGAATCTTTAATAGTCTGAATTAAAGATGGCAAGACAAAAAATGAGCACCTTTGTTTGTCTGGATGCCCAGAGAGACAAGAAAGGTTCTATACAGCAACAGCATTGTAAGGATGAATAAATAGCCATAAAGTTCGCTTGTACTGCATGGAAGCTTGCAGATGGTGGATGAATTCATGTCTGTCACATTTTTATAATACAATGACTTTTACATATTGCTGCCAGATGGAACGTAATTTTGCATCTTGAATATAAATCTCCAAGAAATACAACTGCCTTCAATGCGTTCCCTGTATTTGAAACAAAAGCAAATTCAGAGACAGGTTTGGGATGCTAAAGCAAATTTAAGGAAATCTGAGAGAATATAAATTAAATCCTCAAGGGCTTCCTTGTTATAACTCAATTCAAAATAATGGAGTTACCCATGTGTTCTGTATTTTTTGAGGAAAAACAGGAAAGGTATCATATAGGCTTCCACAGGAAAAAAACTACATGTCATCTATCAAATGCAAAACACATCCTAGGCAGGTCCAGAAGACTTACGAGTCAAACTTACTAGTAGTTTGGCAAAACTTTTGCATAACATTTATTCTTACTTCAATAAAAAGAGATATCTATCCCACAAGATCAGGTCATAGAAGTACAGTGCATGAAGCATAAATGCATTTAACTTTTGCTGATAACAAACATCTGTATCTATATCACAGAAGCACCTTGCCATTCTCCTAGTGTTAAATGATACCTAAACAGACCTAATATCTAATTCAGATCTGATTATACCAGTCTTTATACAGATGTGCTTTCTCCAACTACCAAGAAACCACAGGATTTTTTGCTTTTATATGTGCTTACCCATCACATCTGGCTTCCTCCTTTGTGGCTGGTCTTTGTTTCTAATGCTAGCTGGTATGGCTAAGAAGCGAGTAACTCTGATAGCGATGGAGTGAACTATATGACTCTAGGGCAGAATATTTTCCCATTCAATGATTTCTCACAAAGTCTGATTTGATGACAAACTTGAGTTGACTTCTCTCAGCCAGCCTCAAGCATTGTTTATATGCAGATAATTCTGTGTGTGAACCCATTAGGCTTTTATGACAGTTATAATCAAATATGATTGGGAAACCTTCTGGCTTACTTGGATCCATACTTACATTGTGCTTTGTGAGGTTGGAAATGTTACTTGCTATTGCTTGTAGCCAGTCGATACAGTCTTCAGCAGAGAGACACTGAATTATTCCACTGCAAACCCCATCCACAGCAATTACTTGGAATGCATTTTGCCTATAGACATGTCATAACAGATCAGGTCAGAAGAAAATTTCATCTGTTCTAGCATATCATCTTAACAATACTTGTAGAAATGCTTTTCTTTCAACTACAATGAAGGTCAGCCACTGAACACTGACAAATTGCTGGTTTTCCTGTTTTATAAATACCTGACATGTTACAAAGATCATGCTAAAAGGTCAACACAGACTATATTAAGATTCCATAAAGCTATAAAAAAATTCCATAGACTAGCTCCATGGAACCTTCACCAACACTGTGTTACTTCAGAAGCTAAAGTGAAATAGCTGATGCATACCAAAGAGTTAACACTTTAATACTGCAGATCACAGAGAAGGAAAGTGTGCATTGGACACTGTGGGCAATAATTTGAGAAATTCAGTGGAATACAGTAACTTTTTCTCAAATACTTTTGTTTCATTTTTCTAATACATTGTTTAAATATGCTAAGATTCCTGTCTTGATATGCCTTGTTGACTGCTCTTGGTTACAGAATTTTGATCCTCTTCTAAACCACTGATAGAAAAGCTGGAGAATTCAAAATCGATCAGGTAGCATTAATGATTTTACCCATTGCATTTCTGAATATAGGATCATTAGCAAAATACACTGAAACGCTGAGAGACATTCAATGACAAGAGCGGTGGCCACCTGGGTGCCTCTATCCCAGCACCAATCTGGGCACCTACACAATAATCTGTCATGCATTGTAGACTGACTTTCCACAGCTGAGTGCTGAGCAATTATAGGAAAAGAGAAAACCTTCAGATGCTAAAGCAGTAGCAAACCTAATTTCTTCAATAAATAGCCTTCTTGGCTAACAGCCTTTGGAAGGCTCACAGGTCTCTGGCTTCAGAACCAAAAAAACCCTCAATATTAATCCATATCCCACAGTAAGAGATTACTAAACATACAGAGAATACCAAGTTCCACTGCTGGCATTCTGCTATAAACCCATCCCATAATGATCAATTCATGGTTTAAAATTAAGTACATCATTTAGATTCTTTGAGAATGGCTCAGGCAAAGTGAGTGTTATATTCTGAGTGCCATTGATGACAGTTTCTGACATCTCAGGAAAGATATCCATTCTGCAGAGGTTTGGGGGTTTTTTTACCTCTTGAAATTATATGGTAGTTGTGTAGAATGTAGAGCTAATATCTATCTCTACCATAGAGGTCTTTGCTATATCTGTCAAGTATAGTCTTTTCCTTCAGTCAGGAGAAGCATTAAAAATTAATTAGAGACATGCCTTTGCTTTGAGAGTCCCATCATGAGAACTAGCTCTTGCAGGAGAATAAGGCTTATATATCCTAACATGACCATGCAGAGACAAGTATTCTATCTAAAGTCATCAGCTAACTTATCAGTTTAGTTGCCTTTTCACACAGGTAGTGATTTTTCCAAAGGTACAAACTGAGAGCTACTTTTTTTCAATGACTCATTTTCCCAATAATTCAGGTAGAGTTCTTGAGGAAGATTTATTTAAAGCATCTTCAGGTGATGTAGCTAGCATTTGTTTACTATATCCTTTATTTTAAATGGCTATAAATAAAAATAATAAATTCTTCCAGAATAAAATTCTAAATAAGTCCTTACATACAGTGCATAGCATGATGCACAAATTTGTTCATTATGTCTTCCAATACAAATAGCATTCTTTTCAGGACTCCCCTTCTTTCTCCTCAGCCTATTGTAAACTAAAGCAGGAATCGAAGGAATCTATTCATGTGTGACACTAACCTGCACAAGCAAAGAAACCCAGTATGTTCCAGATTCAATCCTGAAGCACAAATTTCCCTTACACTGCAAACACAGTGAATCTGACGTGTTCGGGGCACCAGACTGCTCCTACTGTTCCTAGGTATTTGATCTGTGCACATACAAAACCATTCATCCAGTATGTTCTTGCCCAAGTATCAATAAGCACAGATTATAAGATGCATGGCTACCTAACAGATTACTTCTGAATGTGCCTGGGCAGTAGATAGCCTTACCATTAGATTATTGCAATAGTATTTTTGAATTAGTCTACCAGCAAAGTCCATACTACCACACAAACCTGAAAAAATAATGTATTAAATACATTTTTTGTGTTTGTTTTGTACTAAACAGAACAAATAGTAGATTAATCACTTTATAATACAGCAAAAAAATTAAGATCAGATGAATTCTCGTTCAACTACACATCTCAGGTTCTGTGCCTTCTGGAACTCAAGACTCATATTTGAAATTAATAAGCTTTCCAAGATTAACCTGAATGCCCTCTGGAATTTTATATGACTTCTCTCTGGAATTCACATGTCCCAAGCATCCCACCAGAAAAGCTAGAACACGATTATGAGGCATAATAGCGTATGTGATAAAGATATGATGTATTTCTGTGCCAGTCTTTTCAAACATAAAAAGATATTAGACTTTATACAGTGAAAACAGACTTGTAAGTATTAACTACAGAAAATGTAATGAATTAAATTCCATTTGATGTTGCTTTCTTATATTATTTTCAATATCCTTTCCTTAATGTTGCTCCTTATAGCAATCTGTTTTAAAAATTATCTACCTTTCTCTCACAACAAATTTTGAGAGGGAGTCACATTTTGAAATCTTTACACTAATTTAAAAGACTCTTATAAACTGTAATGTTAACAACATAAAATGTTGGTTCTGTGCTTTTTTGAAGAAAACCCCACTTCCTCTCCATATTTACACTACATTTTTGTTTGCTTCAAGTACTCTTACTTCCTCATGTTAGACATCATAGAAGGACACAAGGAGAAAATTATCAGTGGTTATTCAAGGTTTCAGTATGAATTCGGGTATTTTGTTTTATATTAATATACTTTTAAATTTATTTTCTGGAAATTCAAATCTTAGGAATATCATTACTACCTAAAAATCTTTCTCTGTAGTGTACAAGTTCTATAATGTGCACTTTAAGCTTGTGTTTTATTGATGCAGAAGACTGAATTTTAAAACCCTAGATCTATGAATAGTTGAATATGTCCTAATTTTCCATGTGAGTAGTTCTATTCAATTCAATATCTTATCTGAGCAGAACAGATCTCAGATTTGACTGTTATGATTTTGGGCCCTTTATGCTTCATGCTCTTAATTATTTCTATTTCAACCATTGTTAAACACTGAGCTGAAGTTTTTCACAGAATTTAATAAAAAAACCTCCTGCCTCTGTGGTGACTATATCCTGTTCCCTTTCAGTTCAGCCAATAAACTGTTGCAGCCTTTGGTTTACACCTTGACTCCCTTGGCCAGCCATTGTTCCTCAATAGAACAAAGCTCACGCAGTCAAGTAAATATGATTTTGCTATTACCAGTCAGAAGCTGCAGGCTGTTTTTAGCTTCACAATTATCTAGTGGTGTAATAACTATTGCCTAACCTGCTTTAATTTCAGCTCTGTGAATAGAAAAAAGGCTGGCAGACCTAGGGAATGTACCTCTAAGAAACAATAGCCTTTAGAATTAACTGGGGCCGTGGAAGGCTTTTGTACAACTTTCAAATGTTTGCTGAGAACCAATGAGAAGGAAGCAGGCTGTGATAAGAAACAATAAAATTCACCCCAGGCGAATCCCAAACTGAGGCTGAAGAACACTCCTTTTGTTTTTTACAAGGAGTCACATAGAAAAGATGAGGGGTAATGGGTACAAGTTACTCCAGGGGAGAGTGGAGTCTATTGTCCTCCATTGGACACAAAAGAACCATTTTTCACAATGAGAACAATCAGCCATTGGAATAATCTCCCCAGGGAAGTGGTGGATTCCCAGTCGTTGGATACTTTTAAGATTTGGCTGGACAGGATGTCGGGCCATCTTGTCTAGGCTATTCTTTTGCCAAGAAAGATTGGACCAGATGATCGTTTAGGTCCCTTCCAACATGGCATTCTATGATTCTATGATATCTCTTCTCCTAGTTTCTGGGGAAGATCACAAACCCACCCCTAGGGGCAGATGGTATCACTTGACCTATGACCTATAGAAACACTGGAAGGGTGAGTGTAACAACAGAGATATTGGGGAGGCTCTTTCACAAAACAGTCTTTCCAGAAAAATTAAAGAAGCTTTTCTGTATTAATTAGGTAATTTTACGCATGTTTTAACAGAGGAACAGGAAATTTTAAACCACTAATGCCTGATGAGCCGTCAAGGTACAGCATAAAACACTATTCTTCCCAGACTCACACATCTAAGCTGGCAGACAAGAAGGCTACATGGGAAAGCCAGAGTTTATTTCAGTTAATAAGGCGTCACAAGCTCACAAATGATCAGTTCTTTATTTTAAGAGCTAATGTTTCTTATGGATTAGAAGAAGTAATGGAGAAACATGCTCTAGAACTGTAGACAGCTGTTCTCCAGTTAATGACTTATATGCTGGAACTCGCAGAAGTTTTTAGTATTAGAACTTCATTCTTATATATACAGATGATAAATTAATCCACGCAATAGCTAGGTATTTAAACCTTTTAACAAGTATGATCTTATTTTTATAGTATGCCTTGTTAGATTTTGTAGCTACTTTCTTTTATATTTAAATGCATAACACTTGAAAAACAACAATCATTCAAGAATATTCTTGTCCTCTGTTCTGATTTCTTCTGATTTACTAGGACAATATTATATTACACAATGATAAGTTGTAGGTCTATATGATGCAGTAAGTTTAAACCTGACTATGAGCTTTGGACAGCTTCCCCAGTGACTGGGAGACAAAATGGCAATGATATTCAATGTTAATATATGCAAGTAACGCATATAGGAAAAAATAAGCTTAGCTATATGTAAGCAGTAAAAGAACCTTACTGTAGCTATAAACATTGAGGAAAGAAATGCAAGAGTAACTACAAACAATTCTCTGAAACACATCACCTTAGTGCTCAGTGACAGTCAAAAGGCTATTACGAAGTATTAGACAAGAACAGAGGAAAAAAAATGGAAAACATCATTATGTTTTAATAAAAATCAAGAGGAATCCTCTTTGCAGTCCTGATCACCTTGTCTCATAGAAGATATATAGAATTACAAAAGAAACAGAGAGAGTAGCAAGGGTAATCAGAGCTATGGAATGGTTCCCCTAAAAGGAGATAATTGGGATCCTTCAAACTGGAAAACAGAAGACATCTGAACTTATAAAAACGTAAATCAAGAACACTTATTCAGCATTTGCCTTGATACAAGGGTCAGGGCCCAGAGTTCACCCTCTTCCCCCACCTGGGTGCCCAGCTGCCCGTGCTTGAGGCCAGCTCTGCCATGGTGTGGCTGTGGGATGTGGGATCAGGCTGCTGTGAAAGAGCTTGGGGGGGTGGGGAGCTGTGCCCCCCTTCACTCGGGAGCTGCATTTCAGCTCAAGCTCTTGCCTTTGGTCCTCGCCTGAGTTTGGTTGCAGCCATGTCTGTGCCTGGACATGTATCCCACTGATTCAGACCTGACTTGTGGGGTGAATTCCCAGCCTGACCTGAGACCCACTTGACCACGATGGACTCATCTGAAGACCACCCCTAGGCCTGCTCTGCTCCTCCAGCAGGGGCTGTGGGACAGGGCCCTTGTCTGCATGGACACTGCCTCGTCCAGCTTCCCTGCCACCCTCTGCTCTTGGCTCGCTTTCCCCACAGGGCAGCCAGTCCTTGCTGCTCCCAAAAAAGAAGATTATTTCACCCAATGAAGTTATCAGGTGAGAGATTTCATTCAAACAAAATGAAGTACATTTTAAAAACATAATTACCTTGCAGAGCTCAATGCCACAATACATTACAAAAACCAAAGGTATAAAAAAAAGCAGCTTAGAAAGAAGCTTTTGAGCACAGGAGCATTAGCAGTTATTCAGTATGATGACCTACGTGCAATCTCAAACTGAGAAATGTGCTGACCACTAGATGCAAGTGGGAAGATCACACATCTTCTTCACATACGTGGTCCTGGCTGATGTCAGAAGAGAATATGGGCCGAGGTGGACCTAGATACACCTTTATGAAAGCTTCTACATTTCATATCTCGGACAGCTGCGGTAGAACTAATAATGTCATTCCTCTAACAAGGCAATTCCCAAAGGCTTGTATCCATTAACCAAGAAGTCAAGTTTCAACTTTCCAAACTTCTTTACCTGCACAAATCTGATCCAGGAAGGTACTGGGAAAACCGTGAATGAAGAAGTGGAATTAATCGGAGATCACACCACCTTTTTTCCCACCTAAGTCCTGGGGATGCTGGCCATGAGGAACATGATAATGTATCCTGAAAAACATTAAAAGGTCCTTCTCATTTTTGGGTTTCATTGTAAGTACTCAGCAGATTTGGAAAGAGAGAGCTAGACTTCAAAGACTTTATATTTTATTTGGCATTGTGTTCCACTTTCCCAAAATCACTTGGCATCAATATTAGCTAGCACTGGAAAGATTCTGAACTTTTTTCTCACGAATAAAACAAATCTATATAAACCTCAACACCAATACGCTTAGAGGGAGTGTGAGGAACAGTATTCTAAAAACCTAGGGAAAACAGATTGTGTCCTTTTTTTGAAATGACTAGTCATGAATAGAAGTGAATATTTTCTGTGTATCACTAGCCACTAGTTTTATACCTGTACCCTGAATAAAGATGATCTCTAAATTATTCACTATACAACCATAATTCAGTTCTTCACTGTGGCCCCATACACATTTACATACATGTCTATTCTAATGACATCATCTTAAAACATGGTAATTGTGAATGGGATTTAATGTGATGAAAATTGTCTAGTCGAAACTACATGCTTATGATGAATACTCTAATTTTACTTATTTACACAAGACGTTACTTATATGAAAATAGAACTTTATCATGTCCTACAAAGAATATGTATTTAAATATCTACAGTCTCATTTCACCAGTATTTTTACAGAATATAGATTTGAATAGGAAATGTTTATAAAAAGTGAAAAGATCAACATTTACTCTTAAAAATCCAACATCTCTTCCTTTCTTTATAAAATTCTTTACAAAGCAGTGCTTGTGATACTATTTTTCTGAAGCGTGATTCTTACTGAAATGTATGCAGTACTTTTAGTATATCAGTAAAATTGCACCTGCATCATTTACAACTTTTTAATCTCAGACTTCGTATTTTTTCTTACCTGTATCTTCTATAAAACAAATATTACAAAAATTAAGTACATCTTGTATTTTTTAGAGTGTCATTTTTGTGTAAGAACTATGGAATTATAAAGCATTGCCAACATGAACTTTACTTTTATTTATATGTTCATATATGTTTTACATATATAAAAGATCACTATGAACATCATTTTAGCTGAACAGAAGACTTTTCATAAGCAGGTTCACTTATTTAAAACATTGAATCTCTGGTGAAATATTCCATAGATTCGACCCAAATTAATAAATGATTGGCTAGGAAGACTAAGCTAGTACGTTGTTTTGAATATTATTTTGAATTTTTTACCTTTTCTATCTGCTCTCAGGAACCTTTATTCAGCTGTGATTAAACTTGAGGGAAAAGCTAAAATGCAGCAAAAAGTTTATATGCAAACTGTAGGCCTAGATCTGGCTGCAACAGAAATGCTCACCCTACCTTTAGTCTGTATAACTCTGAATTGTTGAGAAAAGGCCAAAACCAGTCCTGTCTCCTCCAAATTCTGAATCAGAATCACCTGAGTCAGTCATGCAAATCAACAAGGCTATACATTAAGAAATAGACTATAGCCACAAGTCATAATGCAATCTGAAGAATATTCTGAGAAAAAGGAAGGACATTACATAAGAGTTGTACATAATTTAGGAATTCATACAGATGTCTCATTTGGTTTTATAAAGCATTCTATTCGCATTACAAGGGGACATCTGAGATAAGAACCACATCCTGGTCTTCAGCAGAAGAATTTAACTTATGGTGAATTATAGACTCATGATGCCTTATTATATTATTTAAATTGAAAGAAAAAGACTTGATTCCAGTAAATTATTATCAGTTCGAATAGAAACTGTAGTTTCAAAGGTTTCAACACCTGCAGAAATAGGATTCACAAGTGGAAGCATGGTTTTTATCCTAAAAGCAAAGTTAGAAATGAAGTGGCCAGCAAAATATATTTAGGATCTGCTGCAATAGCCTTTCCACGTGCATACATAGATAGACTTGATATAAGTCTGCTTCTGATGTTGTTGCACTAGATATATATATATATGTATTTTATATTATTTGACCTGCATTAAGATGCCAATTTTATTTTTATCCAATTTTTATGAATTCCAGCTCCTATAAAAGTGTATAAAACCTAAAGATTTTCCAGATTATAGTCAGGCTTAAAATCTGTGCTATTGAGTTTTAAGTCTCCAGGCTCCTATTTCAAACCGTTACCAGTGAAGTATGAAAGAACAATAAAACAAGCAAAAAATTAAGACCAGCAAAGTCTACTGAACAATGGTTACATTTCTGGGTTTTTTTTTAATATATTTGTAATAATTATGCTGTATATTGGTTTATTTATTCAGTGCTTTTTATTTTATTTGAGTATTTTCACCTATCACAAAGCCAAATATGCAGCAAAAAACCCTTTAGAACTATATAAAGTAATGGAAATCTTGCATTTCCTGGCTAAGAAAATTGTTAAAAGCCCTTGTTGCACTTCAAAAAAAAAAAAGATGTTGCACATCTTTTACTAAAAAACTGATCAGACATCAGTAGCATTACATCCTAAAGAGACTTTGCTCCACAATACTATCATTCTTCAGTAAGATTTTAAGTGTAAATTACTAGAAGTAAAATGCTCTCACCTTAAAAATAGGCAAAAACATGTGCCTAAATCATCCTTTGCCAAAAGTTTTAGATAATAAATGAAATAAAAATAATGGAAAAATGTTCTGAAAAAGTTTTCTACCTTTTCTTTAGATACGCCTGCTGGTTTTGGCTGGGATAGAGTTAATTTTCCTCACAGTAGCGAGTATGGGGCTATGTTTTGGATTTGTGGTGAAAGCAGAGTTGGTAATACAGGGATGTTTTAGTTACTGCTGAGCAGTGCCTACACAGAGTCAAGGCCTTTTCCACTCCTCACACCGCCCTGCCAGCGAGCAGGCTGGGGGAGCACAAGGAGCTGGCAGGGGACACAGCTGGAACAGCTGACCCTAACTGACCAAAGGGATACACCATGCCATATGACATCATGCTCAGCATATAAAGCTGGGGGAAGAAGAAGGAAAGGGGGAACGTTCAGAGTGACGGCATTTGTCTTCCCAAGTAATCATTACGTGTGATGGAGCGCTGCTGTCCTGGGGATGGCTGAACACCTGCCTGCTGATGGGAAGTAGCGAATGAATTCCTTGTTTTACTTTGCTTGTGTGCAGAGCTTTTGCTTTACTTATTAAACTGTCTTCATCTCAACTCACCAGTTTTCTCATTTCTACCGACCCAATTCTCTCCCCCATCCCACTGGGGGAGAGTGAGATAGTGGCTGTGTGGTGCTTAGCTGCTGGTTGCGGTTAAACCATGAAAATATATTTTCATTTTAATAATTTTAATTCCTGTGCTGTGGAAATAGTCTAAAAGAAAAACTTTTCGCAAAATCCCTGTTGCCCAGATAAAAATAGTAATCACATCTATCAAGGCACAATCTCAGCTGGTATAATTTGTCATAGTTTAATTCATAGACATAATATCTGGCAACTCTTTCTGCCTCCTATGGAACTGTCTATCTCCAGTGTTAATTAGAGCTCCTCCCATGTTGCTGTCCTTTATTAATTACTTCCACTTAGCTATTATAGCATTATTAATCTTCTGTGTAATTCGATCAAAGAAATATAAGCTCTTACCGTGTTGTTGGGATGGTAGTTGAGATGCAAACCACTGTCACACAGGGGAGAGGATGTGCCACTGCTTTGGTCACTGGGGGCACCTAATAAAAAAATGGATTACACCAAAAAAATCTTCATTAATCTGTAATGCTATGATTGAAATTTGTGTATGTATATGTATGTGTTCCCCTCCCCCCACTAGTTTTGTCATATCTGACATTAGTTACTTTCTCCATTATCTGTCTTCTAGTGTGAGCAGAGTGCCTTTTTAAACTGAGCGGAGTCTCAAGAACCCCTCCCCTGGTGCTTTGCTTAAAAGAGTTAATAATCTGTTTAGTAAGAAAAAAACCCCAAAATTTTTTGCAAATTTGATAATAAAAGGAAAGTGTGTACCTCCTTGCTTGGTTTTCACTTGCAGGAACTAATCAGATAACACTGCTGTTAGTTTCGATGAAGTTTACAGTTCGAACTGTTCTTTTAACAGTTTAGGAAATGATAGTGCTACACCTCAAACGTAACACGATAGGATCGATGCAAATGCATGTTTGTGTGCATTAGTCAGGGTACTGTGTGGTACCACAACCACAACCTAAAAAGGGACAAATGTACTGGGACACATTTTTATTTAAGAATATGGTGTTCTAAATTTTTTCTTGTCTCACCAAAATTTAATACCTAGGTGAAAGATATTTCAACAAATGATTGCATAAAATATTATTTCATAATTTAGTTTATTTAATTGCTACTAACTTAAAATAATAGGCTAAGAGTATTGAAATCTATTATTTATTGTTTTGTTGCTTAAAAATTAAGCAATTCATTTTACTCTCTCAGGAGCAAGAAGCAGAAGGAAAGCAGCGGTGACAAAAGGCTGACATATAAATATGCTTAGATATGCTGCAACTGTCTATAATTATGCACCCACACTTACAATTTAATATAATTAAAGGAAGACAGCTGCCTCCATATGTCTCTCATGGGGCTAGTTGACTAAAACTCGGTTGGACTTGAACAAAATACTAATCATCCCAGAGTAATTTATTTTTAGGTAGACAGACACCTCCACCAAAGCCTCTGAATTTTAAATGGTAAAGTTAAGCCCCCTGAATATACACACACAATCTCATTTTCACAGTTACAAGACAAAACTCTTTCAGACTAAAACGTTATCTGATGCTGCCTGAAAAACCACTTTTAAATACTCTGTATGAGGACGTGAGCTATTGTAAACTAATGTAATTTCAATGCTTTACCTGCAACTTTGCTGATTCACACCAGCCAAATGCATGGTGATCTGTTTTGCAAGCAAAGATACCAATTTTTTGCTTGAGGTGAATGTTACTACAAGACCAGGTAATACGAGCAGCTCATACTCAGGCAGCAATGCTGACTGAAAAAGCTGCTGTCAATCACCCTCAAAGCACAGTAGGTTCAGAAGCTGCAGACATTCATGGGCATTGAATTGAGCTTTCTTTCGGCCAAGTAATAAAGGCTTACATGCACAATCTTCATTCAGTGGCAGTTTGAGAAAAGCAGGTGCTCTTTTCAGAAAGGACACAGTTAGGGTCACTTCTTCCCCCGCATTGCGAAGGACCTGAACCTGGAAGAGAAATACAGACAGGACACCTTGAAATAAATGTGTGACCGAAACGCATCAGCAAATGTAAGCGATGCCACACAGCTTTCACGTACCAGAACAAAATTGCTTAGCAACTTATTGTGACAATTATTTTATTTTTTTTAAAGAAAGCAAGATGTAATGTTTGCTATATGTTTGTCTGTTGTGTTTCTAGTCACACACAGACTGGGGGGCTGGGTATTGGCCTCCTATAATAGCACTGGCTTTGCACTACGCTACTGCACAACTCGCTCACTGACACTGTTCAGCTGTGCACCTCCTTCTTTCAGATCTGGCATCATCCACACTAGCATGTATGTATAAAAAAAAAACCAACCAACCACCTTTTTTTTGCCCCCCCCTCCCCCCTCCTCGGGTTGTCTCATAAATCTCCAACCAAAACAATGGCAGTAGTGTCCACAGCTGTGCCACAATCCTAGGAGTAAATCTTTCCAACAGCCAGAGTTAAATTTAGCCAAAGCACTCCAGCATGGATGAGAGACCTAATCTTCCTTACAGCAACAGAGGAAAAGCATTATTTTAAGCCTTAAGTCTTAGATGAGCACAAGCTTGGCTTTTGCCAAAGGGCAGATTGCATTTTGGACCTAGGAATGTGTAAATCACCTATCCACCTGTGAGGGCTTTCAGCCTTCCTGTACTCTCCCACAATTGCTCCCACGGCTCTTGTTCATGCCTTTAGCTTTTGTGTGGTGCGGCTGACAGACACCTCAAGACACACAGAGAAAGGGAACCTCAGCCCCCCCCCCCCGAGGGGCACAAAGGAGGCACGAAAGCAACTAAGTGAAAGGCTATATTTAACAGCGGGGGACTAACATTTGAATCTATTTAAAACATGAGAGTCAAGAAGCATCAGGTCACGTAACTTTATTCAGAGAATAATCATTTCCTGTTCTTCTGGCTCTGTAACTTCAAAACTCTTCAAGGGCTGATTTAATTTGGGCTTACAAAGGCAGAAGATTGCACCATTCCTCTGTCTGAGTCACTGCACTCATACTGTGCAGAGAGCCAGCTTGCTGGGAGCAGTGTTCAGAGCGCTGCTACACAGTGACATATTAGACAAACATTTAAACTAGCATATATCTGTTCCCTTTCTTCTGTGTTTTCGTGGTAAATGGGTAACACATAAGCAACCCTTCTGCCATGCTGCTGCTTGAGAAAAAGGCTTGTAACTAATTTATGGAGGACCTCTATTTAATCTATGCCTATCAACAACCTGTCCTACAGATTTAGTTAAACGTATGTATGTAACTACATGCAGGGATGCTTTCACATGGAATCACTGCATTAACTTTAAGCAGTTCTTCAAGAAAAAATATCGACTTTGCCTTTAAACACGATACTTCCTATTCCACCCTGGTTGCGACAGAGAAGTAACAATATGATGACAGAATATTTGATTCAGTATCTGAAATCGACTCAGAAATTTTAGTCTCTTTATCGTTTAAAATACCACAGTGGTTGTCAAGGCACAATTTGCAATGCAGTGTGCATTTATATGTATGTGTGCAAATAAACAAACAAACACACACAAATCACAACAAATCTCATCAACTTAAACGCCATGCCAAAAACTTCATCAGTAACATGAGACTCTTCGATGAGCATTTCCCAGTTTGGATACGTTTTATAACTTAGAATTCATAAGCAGTACTTATTTCATAGAAAGAAGATGACTTGTAATCTGTGGAATCAAGACTCTGAAGTCCTGAATTCCACCAGAGAAACCATACCGTATCCTCAGCCTTCACAGAAAATTCATCCTTATCCTCATGTAGCAGTCACACAGTTCAGAATAGTCATAGCCAAAGCAGAAACTTACAGGCATGTACTCTCTATTGAAATGACAGATGTGGATAGACAATGTGCAGGAAAAATACAGCTACTCTCTGCCTTTTTAAAAATACTTATTTCAACTCAGGAATGGGGAAGAAGTATGTGGAGAAGTTACAGCTTTACCAACTTCAATTTATATAAAGTCACCTTTTAAGAATAGGTGGGTATCATTTGTGAAAGTAGCTGAGACAGTAAACTCTGTCCCTGAATCTTTCTTCTTCCAAGAGTAAGCCAAGCCACAAGTCTACATGATTTCATTTGATAACATGTTGCTCTGTAAAGGCTAGAAGTTGCCATAAGTAGTCTATGACCTTGTTCTCTAACCCCCCCCCCTCTCTCTCTCAAACCTTTTTATCTCATAGGATGAAGTATTTAAGCTGTAACACAGTTTTGTTGAAATCAGTGATACTTATTTCACTGAACAGTATTTTGGAGGGTATGAAGCATATAATCCAGAAAGTGACTAGATGTTGCCATGCAGAATAATGAATAAAGAGAGATAAAAGATTAAAAAAGAAAACCACTAGGTAATGATTACAAGAAAGAGCTGACAAGCTATTGATCCCATTTCACTTACTTTCTAGTCATTAACAAAGCCATTCTGGGAAATAAGGTGAGCTGAAGAAAATAGGATTTTTAATTAAATTTATTAATTGTCTTTTTGTAGCTTTCAGTTGAAAGCTTTACTGCTATTTCACTTTTTTTTTTTTTTTTTGGTCTTTATTTTACATAAGAAATGAACAATTACTGAACTGTTTTAAATTGAGTATGCCTTACAGGATTCATTTACTTTGTATCCCCATTCAACATGTACACCATGCCATATTGATGTTCTTCCATGCAGAAACAGAATTAGGTACAACAGGAATGTTTTTAGTGGTATACCAGAACAGCTCATGTTCATGAATGGAAAACTGATAGCTTTTACAAAAAAAAAAAAAAAATAATAGCCAAAAGTAATGTGACTAACTGTTACGCAGAGTTATGTCTATGAAAAAGCCCACTTGCAAACAGGGAGTCAAACACTTTATCTGGAAGATACAATACAGTATGAATTTCTAGAGTTTTACAAACACGAGTGGAATTCTACCAGTAGTCGGAGATATTGGCATATTAATTATTCTTTTCTCTTCCTCATTGCCTAACATCAGTTTAGCTCAAAACTTTATAGACCTATTTTGGTAAAATAAGGACTGTGTGAAAGTAAATGTATTGCTTGTTCGGGCTTAGAAAATGTACATTCATGAAAAATGAATTTATCTGCACAAGTATATCCACGTGGACCTGAAAAAATGGTAGCATATACCACCAACAAAGCAGTAATGAGCTTTTACCACTGAAGTTAATTCAGGAACATACTGAAGATACCAGTTGTCAATCATGTATCATTTTTAGATAAATAAATGGATAGATATCTGCCCAGCCATCCTGCTCTCTTACTTAGAAGAAAGCTCCCTCACATTTATTGCATATACATTGCCAATACCTTGTCAATCAAGCACTATTGTTGACAATGTATGTCTTTGTTAATTCTGGCAGTGATAATTCTAGAAATATTTCAAGGTTAATTTCAAACATAAGAGGGAAGTAGACTAAATCCTTTATAAATCTTTTTAAGAGATTTTTATTTCAGCATATTTTCTGTTTTATAAGGCAACCTTAGAGCTAGGTTTATTAGGTTAACTAACTTGAGATATTTTCGCCAGCACTGTCACATATTGTAATGCACGATAAAAATGACTGAAGACTAAACAGCTAGGGACTATTTTCTACTTCCTGCAAACAATTAAGCGCTATTAAGAATTTGCAGTCATTTAGAAGACTTTCAGGACTTTTCTCATTTTCCAATGTCTACTTCCATATTTTGATATAATTATGTTAAATTCCTTAAATTCCTGATATGTTAGCCCACAAATTAGAAAAAGATGAGTTTTGGTCTGGTGTTCTTTTCAGTGGTAAGGTGCATTTTAAATAGCAAAAATAGAGAACTGCGGGGATCTTGATTCACTGAAGGTTAAAAAGTGGCATTAAAGTGGTACCAATTTTTTTTCTGTAGATTAAAAAAAACAACAGATCACTGGAAAAAGTGTGCTAATTTTATTCCACCCGCACTTCTTATTGTATAGAACTGCTTCTGGACCTTTCAAAAATAAATTTCAAAAGAGATACTGAATACAGTTGCTGATTGATCGCTGATTTCCATGATGATCCCATCCCTCACAAAAATATTCCAACACTGGGTAGAATACAATTAATATTTACCATCTTGTTAAAATTAACTATTTACTTGATGAGTGACTAGTCCACAATTAATTGCTTTCTTTTAAAATACAAAGTAGCTATTTTAAGAAATAGTGTTTTTATAATAACTGTTCAATCAAATTATCAAAGATAAGGCTAGCCACAAAAACCAATTCTTATTAGTCCTGGAACAGAATTAGAGCCTCATCCCCAATGTGGTAAAAAAGCATTAAAAAAAAAAAAAATCAATATTAATGAAATGCAGCTTTATAAGGAAGAGATTTTCAGTTCATTACTGCTAATGAAGAAGGCATTTCAAAACTTACATAAATCAAAAATACTTAAAACATTTGTCCTAGTATGTGAAAAGATATAAATGGACCCAAGTTCTAAAAAGTAAAAAAGAAAGATATTTTTGGAAGGAATACCGATTTTGAATAAATATAGAAACATTATTTCAAAATTTTCAAAACAAAAATGCAGCAACATCCTAAGATGTTTTTTTATCACATATGAAAAGGTGAGATAAATTCATAGTGCTAAAGCCATGGAATATTTGCCTGACAAAAATTTAACTCAGTAGTAAACCTAACATCTCCAAAGTCTAACAAGATTATATCTCCCTGCTCTAAGCCATGGAAAACTCCCTTTGGAAGAGATCGGTATGTCAGTGAATTTGACCTGACAATTTCTAGAGCACTGCATCCCAGATTGCAGAAAATGCATGACCAAGCACCATTAAAAATATTTGCTTATTCTCTGTATCATTGAACAGTAATAATCTGTTTTATTTTGAGAGTTCTGAGTGTTCAACATGTATGTTTTTTTGACTATAAAGCTCTAGATTTTTAATATTTTCAAGATCATCTACAAAGCCCTAGATTTCA